AATTGGTCTATTATGTATTGAAGAACAATAGCGGTCCCGGATGTTACGTTAACGGGATTATTGCTGTTGACTATGCTTTTATAATGCGCATGATAATGCGCTTTAAATAAAAGACACTTCTGGATAACACAGTCGACGAGACACTTGTTAGGAGTAGAGGGATTTTAGAGTTGAAGTAGGCTAAAGGGATACCAAGACAGAAAGGTATTTTGAAGTAAATCTTGAAGCTTTCAGTTTCGTCCTACCCTTTCAAAAATGAAAATCGCTATTATTGAAAAAAATTAGTATTACTCGTTCAAAGATGTTGGGCGTACGTCAATGAATCAGTCAAGATAACAGAAGCTGCACCAACTAATTAAGACAATCACTTTGAGCCATATTTTACTGCTAAATATTTTTCTTACTTAGACCACAGTTTCTATTAACTCCTTGCGAACGAAAAATTAAAAAAAAAAACATACAACTGCGTGTGCAATAAAGTAGAAAGAATAGTTGGCAAACAGTTGCCGCTACAAATATTGATATAAATTTATTATTTTTTATTACAGCGTGATTTCATTTCACCTGAAAATGGACGTTAAAATTCTGGTAAGTATTTTAATATTCTTGTAAGGGTAAAAAAACATTGATACGAAAAATAGTAGTCATGAAAATAAAGAAAAAAAAAAGAAAATCAGTCAATTTTTCGGTGAAAAAGTACAACCGTAACTGAAAGTAATAAAAATTATTGAGAATCATGCGATCAATTTAGTTAGTAAATGAAATAAAGCTCCAAAAGTACACTTCAGAAAACAATATTTGAAGAAATTTGAAGTAACAATTTGTTTCAGCTGGAGTTAGCAAATAAAAACGTTCCGGTTATTGCAACCAATTTACTTAACTCGGTCACTCCGCCATTAAGCTTTAACTCTTTTGGTCCCAGCTGTAACTACTGAGTAGAGGTGCGGTGGCCTCATGGTTAGTGGACTTGCCTGCGGATCGAGCGGCCCGGGTTCGAGCCCTGGCCGAGGACATTGTGTTGTGTTCTTTTGCAAGACTCCTTACTCTCACCGTGCCTCTCTCCACCCAGGTGTATAAATGGCGAAATTAATGCTAGGAGAACCCTGTGCTGGACTAGCATCCCATCCAGGGGGGAGTAGAAATACTCCTAGTCGCTTCATGCTACTGAAACTGAGATAAGTACCGGTCTAATGGGCCTTGTTTTCACCTTTACATAACTACTTCCCAAAGTGGACATTAGCTTGTGACTTTGGACTGACAGTAAAGATCGCAAAACCTTTGTCACTCTACGAACGGTTTCTGATGAACGTGCGACAACTCGACAGCCCCTTGTCTCGTATTTCTTGCAATATGATCGGCCTTTTGAATTGAAAACCTCTTAGAAAGCCGTTGCCAAAAAATGTTAATGTTGTCATCTGTTAGGGCCACAGTCCCGCAATCTTCGCCTTTAGTTCAGTCAACACGAAATAACAACGGGAAGAACAAAGCACTTTTGGTCAAGAAGAAAGCTCAGCAGGAGAAGGGCAATATATATCGAATCTCATCATCTTTCCCTTCTCTCCTCTTGGAGAGGGAGGCCATCAATCCGTCTTCTCCAAGCAACTCTGTCTTTTGCAGCCACGTCTACCTCTCTCCATATCGAATCTAACAGAATATTTTAGAATTCTGAAGGAAGACGTTGCGTTGTCCATGGTGCCTCGTTTCTCTTTCAAATAATTACTGCCAAGTCGGGCCAAAGGCTCCAAAGTACGAAGGATTAACCGTCATGTGGAACTTTCTCTCTCCCAACAGTGTGACTCCAGTCAAACTCGTTATCTTTGGCCACACCAGTCGGATGCTTTAGCTATAAAAGAAATAATGGTTGAGACTCCATTCTTTTAAATAATTTTTCTTTTGCAGCTCGCTTTAACGATCATGACTGCTATCACCTTCCTGCGGTTCACAACAACCAGCGGTCTTCCAACCACAGCAGAGGATCTTGGCTTGGCTTTAGAATCAGATGATAATCAAGCAGGTCGCCAAAAAAGCCAAAGTCTGAGGACCTGGTGGTGCAAGCATTACACTCAAGCTCAGCTGAAAGTAATGCTGCAACAACTTGGAGATGGACCAGGAGGGATTTCGCTTGGCGGCTTCAATCCACAGTACATGGCTTTCACCTGGCAAGAGGCACAGAAACTCCCTGTCCTTGTTACAAATGCTAGCGTACCTCAAAGCAGAGTCTTCACCATCGCACAGCCGAGCTCTCTGATGTCATACTCAAACTGTCGTATGACCGTAGATGGATGCATTGAATGCAATTCAAGGAGGGACCTGGGTCCGAACAAGGTCCCGAGATTCATCAACGAAGTCACATGCCAACAAGTAGGCGCTTGTAAGTTTGGCGCGTGTAAGAGTGCTGCCTTGAACCAGCGGTTTTTTCACAAAACAGGAAAGTGCGATCCAAGTACGGGATACGAAGAAATATTGGAATACACCCAGCCAATACAAGTGTGCTGTAAATGCATGCTTTTCTCCATCTAAATCGTGAATGAAAAGAGATGAAATGTATACTCTTGCGAATTAAAAGAAGTGTTAAGTTGAAAAAGAGCCAGATCTGCTAATAGTTGTAGAAACCTAGAATGCAAACTGATGGAATAAATCGATACTATGTCGTGATTAATGAGTCATTTTGATAAACCGGTGAAACACGAAGAAATAGGGGAACTTGAATAATTTGGTATTTCGTATCGGATGCAGGCTGAATTCGACCCCAAATACCCTTGGTTTACATTCAGTTAGCTCCAATTCTCCTATCTCCACTGGAACGGATGCCGCGTACAAATTCGAGAAATGACTGTTAAAATGAGCATATCACACGAACAATCGCATGCATGAACACAAGCTCCGTAATAAACACACCCAAGTATTGTAGCCAATATTTCTTATCGAGAGATTTTTGCAGGCACAGCCATGTTAGCAATGCCATTAACACAGAAGATAAGTGCATGGTGATGGTTTGTTTGTCTGTAGAGGCAAAACGACCCGACAATTTCCGTTTTGCTTCCATATGCTTGCGAAAACACGCAAAGATCCTACAAAGCGTTTGATTAAAAAAATAATAATAATAAAATAATAATAATAATAACTGAATAATAATAATAATAATAATAATAATAAAACGCAGGTCCAGTAGAATTCTCCAAGCATGCTAAATAGATCCATTTGGCTCTAAATAGTTTTGAAAGCGATGAATTTGTTGATATTTTAGATCTTTGCACTTTAACTGATTGCATTCTTCAAATAAGCAAGGGAACGAAGAGCCAAAGGCTTTTACCACTGGAGTCGACACTCCAGCTTTGGCACTCGAAGCAAGACCACTTCATCTTTACAAAAGGCTCTTAGCTTTGACGACCAATCACAGTGCACGTAGTTTGTTGTCACGACGAAACTTAGAACAAGAGCGAGACGTTCATAACGGTTTTTTTTATTGGGGTTTAAGAATGTCGTTTTGCTATATTTTGCCGTTTTTTTTTAAGTTGATAATTACTTTAGAATAACAAACTATCATTTCATATGACATAACAGTAAATACCTTGAAACTCGTTTTATATTGGTAGCTTACTGCTGTCACTAAATATAAAGCTGTTGAGAGCATTTTAAAATAACATCATTGCTTGATCTTTTTTGATGATATATAGCGAAAATGATTTCATGCATTAAACAAGATCAATATAGATTGTGTTATAAGAAAAACTGGACGCTTTCAAAATAGTAAGATCGAAATAACAGAAAAAACACAACTTTAGAAAGGACTGCTGGTGTGAAACGGTCAATTATTATTTTGCCTTTTCCCGTAGTTTATGGTTGTTTAAGGTTGCGTGCTAGACACCAAGTATTTATAAACTATGCTGACCGGTGGGCGGTAGGCAAGAGTTATGTCACGCAGTTGTTGAATGCTGTAAAAATGACAATAATGCTGATAATTTAAAGAAAATAAGTGATTAGAAATATTGCTTGACTTCAACGAGCGCATATTTTGAAGGCGTCGTTAACGCCACGTGTTTTACCAGTTTCTTCATCTTCAGTGAAACAGAATTCATTCGATTTTAGAACACTAGCATCTTCCTAAGGATGCCTCTGTGTTGCCTCTTAAAACATATTAATTTGAAAATTTCATTTGTCATGGGACTGACACGGAAAAACTGCAATTTTGTAGCTTTAACTGAACTTGCAACATTAAAGAATTGCATTCATGTTTTTCGCTTTTAGGCTGCGCCGTCCACAATGCGTGCGGTGGAGGAATTTGAAAACGCAAAAATCACTGGTCATTTTGGATTTGTGTTTGTGTAAATCTCGGGAAGAGAGCTAGAAATATCATGGATATGGTAACGCCACCGTTTTCGAAAAGCTTCGTTTTCAAAATAATTATTTTCTGTCCACATTAAAATGCAAAACCGGCGTTTTCAAATTCCTCCGGTTTGAAGAGCGTTTTAAAAAAGCTCCGTTTTCGTGACGGATTAGTGCGGACGGTAGGCCTAACCGAAGAAACAAAGCGCCGTTTTCAAATTCCTCCGGAATGGTGTGGGCGGGGCCTTAATGAAAATACGAATCCCCCGTCCCGGCCGCTTAGGAGAATTTGTTGATTTATCAGGGTGTGCATAATGACAACCATTATTATTCGGTCACTTACCACCTTAACGTCATAATTTGCAATTTTCAGACTCACGTAATCCGCGAAATTTAAGAAATTGTTCTCATCGATCGATTCGTTTGTTTCCCTTTTTGTAGATGTTCATAATGTTTTAATTTTTGATATATTGTAAGACAAATTTTAAAAAGTTCTAGCTCGTAAATGCAGTGAGTGAAAGTTTACTCGTTCACCTTGTTTTCGATTTTGGATTACCTGAAATATGAGGAGCTAGATTTTCTCGTGAAGTAACAGAAAACATCTTTATCTTTTTTGTGGGCGTCGTATAACTTTTTGAAGTACTCATGAGTTCTATTTGTTGTGTGATTGCATC